TGTTCATAGAGTAATTTCAGAACGGTTGTTATAATGGAGAACTGGAATTTCTACAGTAATCTACACCATATTAAAATACTAAAAATAGAAAAAACAACTCTAAAACTAGTACAAGTAAGTTAGTGTCCCTTTTTCTCTACCAGATGTTTTGATTGTAAAAGTTGAATAATACCTGAGAATGATTATATATATATTTTTGTTTTACACCAAAAAACCAAAAATTGCCTCAACACAGTCTATTTCAAGTCATACTGTACACGGCTATCATCAGTGTCTGTCATGGAGCATTGTTTTAAATTTATTTTCAATGTCAGTCCTCCTCTGGTAGACACCTTGCTAATGAGAATGGTTTTGTGTTAGCGATTGGTGTGGGCGTAAGATATCTTATCCCGGGAGGAAGTGGTCTGGGGTTGGAGTTTATTTATGGCTAGAACCTTTGTTGTTAGTATGTGGTATTTCTTATACAGGCCCCGATTAGTAAATTGTCTGTTATTTTTTTTTTATTTATAAAAATTTACATTTATAAATGTAATCCACTACCACAAAATCCTCATAAACAAAATAACAGAAATACACATACTATCTAATAGGATGTCTGAAATGGATATAGAGACCACATTGCAGAGAGAGTGGGAAAGACCCACGCTAAGGATGCCTATATTTTATTTAAGGACCATAAACAGAACTTCACCAAGAGTAGACAATCTAGACTAATAAATCCAACAAAAACAGAACTAGGCTTTATCTCACAAAATATAATTAAAAAAATAACCGACAATTTGCTAAACACAACCTTCCTTTGGAAGGATTCGTCTGACACAATTTAATCATTCACTAACATGAGGAATAAAGATAAAGCAACATTCATTAAGTTTGATATAACTGATTTCTATTCCTCTATCACTAGGGACCTCCTGGTCAATAGTATCAACTTTGCAAAGAACTATATAGAAATAACAGATGATAAAACTAATACCATCTTAACGGCGAAAAAGTCACTGCTAACTCTGAATAATTCCACCTGAACTAAGCGCCACAATGACAAATTTGATGTCACCATGACTCAGCCCAAGTTGCAGACCTAGTATGTTTTTACATTTTAGATATGCTTAGTAAAATCGTAAAACTGGAACTAATGGGGTTGTATCAGGTTGACAGATTCATCTTCATCCCTAATAGTAATGATCTACTAACAGCAAAATTACAAAAGAAAATTATCAGAGCCTTCAAATTCCTAAAGTTTAAGATCAAGATTTCCTCTAACCTTAAAATAGTTGACTACCTAGAGATCACCCATAACCTTAATGATGAAACCTTTAAACCTTACCATAAAGAGAACAAAACCCCCCAACTATATTAATATCAGTTCTAACCACCCCAGTGTGATCCTAAGACAAATACCCATTACCGTTTGCATCAGGATTAGTAAACTATCATCCAATGAAAATATCTTTAATAAGAATAAAGAACCATATGAAAAGGCCCTCCAAAAAAGTGGTTTCAAAAGTAAAGTCTTACGCAACCACCATTAGTAATACCAACACACAAAAAGTGAAATGTAGGTGTAAAAATAAGAAAAGAAAAATCACTTGGTTCAGCCACACCTTTTCGCAAACTGTCAAGTATCAACATCAGACAGTACTTCCTAAACTTAATTATATGTATGAAGATATGTACGCATATAAGCGTGTTGGGCAGCATGATTTATTCCATTGTGTGCTCGGGTATTACCCACAACTATAACTCAACTAATTAACATTAATCTTAACGGGTTTAAGTTTAAATCCCGCATCACTTATTAATAATATTAGACACGTATAGTACAAAAACTATTTACTGTGAATCCCAGAAAAACACATTTGGGGCCTGTATAAGAAATGCCACATAGTAAGAACTGATATTAAACTACAAACAACAAAGGTTCAGGCCGTAAATAAATTGCAACCTTAGACCAGGATAAGATATCTTATGCCCCCACTAATCGCTAACACAAACCCATTCTCATTAACAAGGCATCTATCAAAGGAGGACTGACATTGAAAATAAATTTAAAACAATGCTTCGAGACAGACACTTAGGGGCTGATGATAGCTGATCTAATTGAGGTAATTTTTGTTTTTTTGCTGTAAAAAATACATATGCTCTGTTAAAATAATTGAGCTCTGTGGATCAGTTTTAATAATTAATATTACTCGGATGCAGCTGGATTATATATCAACAGATTGATTACCTGTACTATATATATATATATATATATATATATAAGATTATAATTTATTATATAAATTAATTTAATATTATATTAATATAGTAACAGACTTAGTGAAAAGGGGTGATCTTTGACAATGGAGCTGAATATAAAAAACTCACAGAGCAGCATCAACCAGTCATCTTATTGAATAAATCTGAACTTTTTTAAATTTATTATGAGTTATTTTACCAGTGTATATAAATGTTCTATAGAATTTACAAGTTTATTTTCATTAAATCAGTTTTACTTCAAAAGAAAGCATATACATTTACTATTTCCGTAATACAATTCCCAAACTAATCTATGAGTAAAAAATAAAATAAGCTTTTTTTTTCATCAAATGGTTTTTGGGGATTCACCAGGAAAAAAAATTAAGAATAAAAGTTGTCCATAGGTAAAAAAAAGTACAAAAATGAATGATTAAAATGAAAATAAATTTAAGCAAACTTTAAATTTGCATAATTCTTGGTATAATTAACATAGAAAATTGATTTCCCTGTTCTTTTAGTTTTCTGAAGTCAGTATCTTCTTTTTGCAATGTGTTTTGTTGTGTGTGTATATTATTGGTCTATTTTTATATCCGTCCCTACTCTATATTATTTCATCAACTATCATTTTAGTAATTTACTTACTTCTAAAGGAAAAAGAGTAAGTTTTCTGATTGCAATTTCTTCAATTTTTTTCCCCTAAAATCTCAATGAAGGTTTTTATTTTGTGACACTATTTAGGTATGGTAATTGGCTAACTAATTAACCATAGAAATTAAAACAGGAAATACTAAAGGCGGAAAAAAATCATCCCGAAAGATATACCGTTCGATGTTAAAAAGATTTTATTTACAAAAAAGATACTTTTCACAAAAGACAGTAAACCCATAGAAAAAGCCATATGTGAGTTTTATCAAATTGATTAATATTGTTGTAAAGAAGTGCCTTGCCAAGAGAAATGGGAGAATTCAGAAAGGTAAACAAAACATTAAGATATCAGGAATACCACATGGCGGTCATAAAAATTTCAGCCTGAGACGATTGGGTAGGGAGAATCAATATTAATTATCTTTCCAAGATATCATTTTTTTTTTTCTTGAGTGCCGGCAAGGAAAGGCAATATGGTGATTATAAAATTTTGGCATTTGTCTTGATACGGGTGGAGAGTACCATTATTATTTACTTTACCAAGGTGTCGCTTTCAGACACTGTGATGTTGAGCAGCAATGTGGTGATTGTAAAATTTTGGGCAGGAGAAAAGATAGCGTGGAAGAATTGTGATTTGGTGAGATAAAGAATTTAATTCCTCAAGAAGCCCCACAAAATGGAAAGTGATCAATTTTCCTGGCCTGACAACAAAGAGATTTCTTGTTGCGAATCGAGATTTACCGAAAACCCCAGGCCACGTCTGGCCCTGCACTGGGTTTTTTGGTCGGTACCCATATAAACGAACATCCTCGGGCCGTTCGACATACGAGTCAGTAGCAGTTGGAGTTGAGTCAAGTCAGTTCAGTTCGAGTAGCGGGAACCAGAGTGTTGTCTCACAGAAGCTGACCAAGAGATTCCAGGATCTCTGCCTTCACCAATTATACTGACGAATGAAACCAAGCCAGTACCTAGGAACTAAATCAGTTGACTTAAGATACCAAAACTTGCTTGAAACGTAAAAGTGTCACATTCCGTAGAAAACGGGCTGGGAGAGAAACACACTCCTGTATATAACAGATGGATAAAGTTAATTTGTTATTTCTTAACATACTTGAACCTTTTGGGTTTTTCTTTTATTTGCTTCTTTTTCTTTACGCTTGTGCAATATCACCTTCAGTCTGGACTTAGGTAGACGAGATCAATCAGGCATCGGGCTAAGATCAAAATCAACGTGAGTAGGTTAGACTTGAGATTGAGCAGTTACTCCGGTAACCAGACGTTGGAAGTGTGCTGGGAATGACAGAGCTGGTATTGAACCGGTACAGCTGGTGTGAAGTTGTTAACATTGACAACCAGAATTCGACCCTGGACAGGCCAGTGTCACATATTAGTATCCTGGCAAAGGGATTCCGCTGAGTAGTGACAACCACCGATTAACCAGGACACAGGCTGGTGGCAGCGACTAAGAGTCAACCTCAAAACGCCGGTGGAAGAAACATTACAGCTTCGCGCCACAGGCTGACAGCTCAGTGTCACATTTTACCTTCTAAGCTGGAGCATCTAAATAGACAGTGTGTGTCACAGAAAATAGATTTTGGTATTCATTATTTCTCTGAAATAGTTCTTCAGAGCATTTGTTGCATCATAAAATTTTCTCATTTTGTTATATCATGAAAAACCCAAATTTTATAAAAAATCCACTGGTAAAAATACATTATTATTTACTATAAAGTTGAAACTGAAAATACTTGAGTTTAATGAATTAAAAACCAAGACATTAACTAATAAAAGTGAACTTTTCACAAAACTAAGACAAAAGCACAGATGTTGATAAAATATAATTTATTTGGAGAATTAAATTTTTTCAACAAAGTTTTGTTTTTAATGAATTCTGGTTTTACTTAAAGAATAAATTTGCATGATTATTATCCTGTTTAATTACTACAACACTATAGCTATAAGTTATATTTTAAATTGACTGAAGCTTTGAAAAGTTTATTTCTGAGTATAAAATCTTTATCAAGAAATTGAGATTTATCTATTTTTTCCTGAAATATTGTTTGTATAAAATATAAGTTTATAATTGTACAAGTTTTTTGTTGCTGAAGTAATTTTCAATTAAAATATGGAGAATCCAAAACCGCAAAACCAGCAGCAATCCCACCTTCATCAGTTTCCAGTGTTTTGGTTCTTACTAAATGACCAGTCTCCTTGTTATAATGCACTTGACCAGCTTCTCTACAATGAAAAAAACATTACTATTTAGAGAATATCATAAATTATGATACCAAATATGATCAAAGGAATCAGCAACAATTTCTTAGTTATTATTATTTACATTATTTATCAATCAAATGTCCTCGTCTTTGTTGTCACAATGTTGTCCTCTCAGGCTTTCTTCAGGTATTTGTTGATCCTGGCACTCTTATTCAGAGAATTTTGAACTGAACTCTATTTAATTTACAGGCTTTGTCATTTTTTTTCTTGTACAATTATTGCTAGTTCTTTCCCGACTGAGACTGACTGTGCCTAGGATCTGAACATTCAATTACCCCACCACCAAATTTACCAAACAACACTTTAATCCTTGAGGCTATTGTTCTGTGGAACAATCCTGGAGCCTAAAACCCAATGTCTTTATTGCCTGCCGGCTACTGTAACAAAGAAGGTTAAGTTGAAGAACATCAAGCTTGACAGCAAAGCAATGGCAACAGCACCAGGCAGGAAATAAGAATAGTCGCATGGTTATTTCCTGGGCTTATGCTGCAGCCAATGAGTTCTCTATAGAATGTATATTTAGGTAAACGATCATGCCCAAGAGTTACAAAGTTTTCTGCCCGCTGTTGTCAATATTTATGAATAATTGTCACTACATGTGAGTAAGTTCATTAAAAGACAACATAGTCAGAAATATAGCTACACTTTGAACCTCAGATTGATTTTGAGAGAGAAACAAGAGGTTTTTTTTTTTGGCAGATTTCCATTCCTTAGATAATTATGAATGTCTCTTTTTTTAATGTTTCCTTTACCCCTGGTTATTTTCTATTAATGTGAGTTTTGGAAATGATGCAGAACATTGAGACAAATAGAGTAGCTGTAGTCTCTAGTCATCTTCCACTCACCATAGTATTTGTAATCAGTCTGTAGCGAAAATTACTGAAGTTTTTGTCTTCTCCGTTTTCTTCTGCTCAGTCTTAGGCCGCAGTCAACACCAAAACAAACAACACATGTGTCTTTTGCACAACTTGACACCCTCCTTCCTTACCCTCACAAACTTTCAGCTTTTATGCCAGTGAGGCATACGCTTATGCAAATGAATATGGGCCTCGCTCCCAGTCTGGTCGCGCACACGCACTGCCATTTTTGTGTCCGCCGCCATGACATTTGCCTCGTCAAACGTTCACTCATTCATTTGTTACACTCCTCCTGATCCTTAATGATCACAGCACGGGCAAGGTCGTGTTGGTAATCTCCGGTGTGTGCTTCATCGCAAGGGGGGTTCTGTGGTTTCTCTATTTTGTGCTGTTTGTTGGCTAGGCAGTGTGATATACCCAGTGTCATCAAAAGTCTCATCATCCGCTTCACCAGATGGGATGACATTTGTCCGGGGTCGTATGTCCTTTATATGGTATGGGACACCGTCGAAAAAAACAGATTGCGGGCTGATCACCTTTGTCACTGTTCCTTCTTGGAATCTGGAAGTGCATCGATAATGATTTTGACCCACAGATAGTCTCCCAAATGGTATTTGTTTTGTGCGGGGGCCGATGACATTGGTATTCCTTATCCTGACCTCATATCTGTAGATTCCGTTGGTAGGTGCAGCCAACAGAGATGTATCATCTTTGGGCACTACGTTGTACCAATACACTGCTTCTTGAACAGAGCACCTCATCCATTTAACACTGTGGTGGCATCGTTCTGCAATGCCGTTGCCTGCTAGCACATAGGCACACCAAAATTGCAGGTGCACTACCCAGCTGACTGCAAACTCCTTGAACTCACTGCTGGAGAATGCAGTGTCGTTGTCCGTCAACAATTCCTGTGGCAGATCGCGCTCAAAACTCGAGGTATCGAATAATGTTTCCGGAGTCCTGCCGCAACAATGGCTGTCAGATGGTAAAATGTGTTGGACTGCAATCAGTGATTGTCAGGAAGTATTTACCGTTGTAGTGGGTTATATCCATCCCCCGAAACACGCAGTACATCGGATGCCTGGGTGTCCACTACCTTTATGTATTTCCATAATCTGACTACTTGTCATCTCATCACTCCTTGCGGCACACGCCAGAAGTACGAGCTCAGTCACAGATTTCATCCTCTCAAACCACCTTTGTGGTACCTGGGTCATGAGGCCCGCTAAGTTCTGGCTTGATGGGATCAGAGTAACATCTATGGACAACCCATATTCTTCTATCAGCAACTTTGTTTCCAATCGTCGTCGGAGCAACATCTCGCTAGTGGCCTTCGTACATACTCGGGTCTTTCCAGTGAATGTATACACTAGCCAGTGACACACGCTCACTGAGTCTGTCTTTAAATGCATGACTTTGCACACCAGATTGATGCCTTTCAGTACTGCATCAAGTTCGCCCAAGTTAATGTGCTGGGCGTCGTTCACAGATCACAGCCAACACGCATCCTAGAACAAAACATCATCACATTCCAGGAGTACGCCAGTTGCTAGGGAATTTGCGTCTACCCATACATTGACGTCTTGTCCATTCACACACCATAGGCCCTGCGAATGATCACTCTGCTTCACCCTGGTTATCGTTTCTTGGATCATTTGTCGCAGTGGGACATCCTCTGTAGTGTCATCCCATCCTCAGGTCATGGCGTTGGCACTTCGCTTTATAACTCCCATTGCTGCTCGGAGCCACCCACACACTGGCAGATGCCCAATCAGCTTCCCACATAGAGAGAAAACAGTACAACGCGTCACAACTTCTGGGACATCTAGAATTGCACTCCCACGCTTCCACTGCAAAGTGCCACACTCCCCCCCAGACTTCCAATCCAAGCACCCGAGCACCATCTTCAAGTCACTCCTGATCCTTGCTTTCTAGCCCAAACCAGGAAAAATGCTGTCTTACCCGCTCCGCAGGCACCACACTGTTGTTGATGTACACATTGCCGATGTTGCCTGTTGAACAGTCACATCTCTGGATAGAACAGCCTCCACGATCAACTGCATAATGGAGGGGGCTACGTTCAACCCAAATCCCATCCAAGTTAGGCAGTATCTTCGCCCTCTAACCATCACAGTTTGGAATGGCCATAGAGAATGGTGCACATGCACCTGAAGGTAGGCTTTTCTTAAGTCCAACAACGACACATCAGACTCCTTCCTACACCAGTCTCTCAGTATTTGAGAGCACACATCGGCGTGTGCCGTGTACGCTTCCACGTGGTCGTTTAGTTCACAGTAATCCATAACAGGTCACATTTTTCCTTTGTTAGGCTGAACAATTGCCATTAGCGGGATCAAGCTCCTTCTCCGGGTATGGTATCAGCCATCCGTTATGAATCCAAGTCTGCAACTCGCAATTATATTCCTTCTGGATGTGTTTTGGCACGGTGTATTCAGGCGTCTGATTGATCAACTAATCTGGCGGCAGCTCACCCGACCACTTCCAGGTTGCTGTCCATGTTTTCTTAGTGGGGTTGAATTCCACATCAAAGTCAGGTTTTTCTATTTTTACTGCAACAGCAGCGCCGACACTGGACACTTCGTTTGGAAAACTGGCCTCACCATGCTCATTTATATGAACACCGCCCAACAAGTGTATCACGTCAAGTCCAAGCAGGAGATCACACCCCAGTAGATCTCCATCCATGGCCAGCATTTCAACCACTATGAGAATCCTCTTATTCACCTGTAGATTGACACTGGTCACTCCCCTGCTAGTCAGGCTCCTTCTTTCAACATTCGTCCTACGTCTATTTGGTGGACCACAAACCAAACTCTTCACAAGAGACCATGTGCATCCTGAATCAACCAATGCATTACGCATCACTTGACAGGTTAGTTCTCACATTACTCGGGGCGAGAGTGGTGCTCAAATCTCACCCCTGTCTCCGTTTTCTGGACATTTCGACACGACATGGCCCTCCTTCTGGCACCTGTAACATTGGATGTTGAGCTTTCAGCGCTGCCCTGGTCATTCAAACTGGCAATGCTTGGTCAGATGGTTAGGCCCAGAACAATTAAAGAGGCACTTTTTCTGTAGCTGGTTAGTCGATGGCGGCAGCAACCCTTTTGCTGTTCACGACAGCTCTTGCCCGGCCGAACATGCTCTCCATGGGAATGTGGTCAACATCGGCAGATGCCCGCAACAACTCCTGGGTGTGGGCAAGCAGTCCACCCATGAATGCATACTTCAGTGCTTGGTCGGGCATTCCTCTGAACAGGCTAGAGAGTTTCTTCAATGCTGCGTAGAACTCATCTACCGACTCATCCAGGCGCAAAGTGCGTCTTGAAAACTGCTTGTATGCTTCACATTGGTCAAGCGCAAAGGCCCTTCAAAGTGCAGATTTCACCCGGGTCACATCGGTCTTGTCTGCATCCGAAAGTTGCTGGTAGACTTTGAAGGCCCCTCTGGCCAATCACAAGGGGATTACTTGCTCGACCCGGTCAACTCCTGAAAGCTTACAAATCAGGTCTACTCTTTCTAGCCAATCAACAATCGACATCGTTCCGTTGTATTCTGGCACAAGCTTTAGATCAAACTTTCCGTCAGTCATAATGCTGAAATAGCTTGTAATCAGTCTGTAGCAAAAATTACTGATGTTTTTATCTTCTCCATCTTCTTCTGCTCAGTCTTATGCTGCAGTCGACACCGAAACAAACAACACGTGTGTCTTTCACACAATTGGACACCTTCCTCCCTTACCCTTGCAAACTCTCAGCTTTTATGCCAGTGAGGTATACGCTTATGCAAATGAATATGGGCCTTGCTCCCAGTCTAGTCGCACACGCACACTGCCATTTTTGTGTCTGCCGCCATGACGTTTGCCTTGTCAAACATTCACTCATTCATTTGTTACAGTATTCTATGAATACAAAGCTATTGAAGTTGTTTTTTAATAACAAATTTTAATTTGTTTGGGCAGAAATACCACTGTGTAAGTTTTAAAGCAAGAGAAAACCTGCCAGGCCAGCAATCTGCACCATGATATACTCATATATCAAACACATTTAATATCACAGCTATGAACGCAATGAATTAAATACAAAATGTTTGGATCTTGTATGCATCCAGTTTGCTTTGTGTGCCAGCTTATGTTAAAAATGAGTGGATGCAAACTGAAGTAACGTCAGTCCACTATCCTTTATTGATCCTAATTCATGTTTACTCCAAATTGAGTATTAAAATCACCCATGGGAATAATTTTATCCTCATTAGATAGTTTTCAAGAAATGCATAGGAAGATGATTTTGATTACTCAGTAGAACCCATAATAGGCATGTAAATGCTAAACATTGTAGCAAAACACTAACACCCACATCCCAAACTTAAGTGTAAAGCCATAATTCTTTCTATATTTGCCACTGATTTTGACCAACCTGTTCCAATGTCTACTGTTCCAATTACACTGACTAAATTTCCTGACAATGATCATTATCTTCCACTTTGGGCACATGTTTGTGATATCATCAATCAGAATTTTTATATTCCTGCACACCAATTTCATTATACCCTAGCAATTTGATTTGTTTTTCTCTGTTTTGAGCACCAAAGTGAATGTTTACCAGTTTGCTCTCTCATTATACATATATATACACACACACACACAAATAATATAGTTTTAAAGTATTCTATATCTATAGGTAAAATTATCAGAGAGTGTATGTAAATATATAAGTAGATACTAAGGCCAATTCCGAGTGGCGATGGTCTGTTGCATGCTTGAATACAATCTTCAGGCTATCTGAATACTGCATTCAAGCATGAAACAGACTATAAAAACTTGGGGTTGACCTCAGTGTCAATATATATATATATATATATATATATATATACACACACATGTCTGATTAAATAAATTACAGACATTATATCTGCTAATTTTTATAAAATCCATTCATACTCACAAATAACCTTCCGTGTATTGATGTTAAAGGATGAGAGAAATGTGCTATAGCTGTTTAAATTTTATTTTCATTTCCCAAGTACTTTTGATCTTCTCTCAAGAGCATCTTCAGGGGTGCAAGTGGTACAAGACTATATGTTGTTCATTAGCATAAATATTTACATAAAGATGTGCATTGCCATAATTATTTTCATTATGCTTTTAAATGCAAAACAGTTGACAATGCACTGAACCATTAACATCAATACACGGAAGGTTACTCGTGAGTATGAACAGATTTTATTAAAAATTAGCAGACATGATGTCTGTAATTTATCAATCAAACATGTCTAAAAGAGAATTTGCTGCCTAAATACACAAATTTTAAAATATATCTGTTAATAAATTAAAATAAATGCATTTATAAAGATTCTGTTTGTACTGTGAAAGTGAGCTTGGAGAATTGTCTAGACTGTCTAAAGAAAATGTGAGATGTAACTTAACAGCACTTTCATCTACTGAGAGATTTTAAGTTCATCACATTCCCTGGAAATCATGAGTTAAATCCTAGGATTAGGTAGCACAGAAAGCTCAGTAAGGAAAAACAGAGAATACTAAATATTTGCATTTATGATTTCAGAAATGCCTAGGAAGGAAACCAGGTATAACAGAAAGCAAAGAATAATATATCCTGTTGGATAAGATAAAAGCTTCTGTTCAAAATTCTTTGATAATAACCAAATGTGATAGACATTCATATAAGCTCTGGTAATGCTGCAACCAGAACATTATGATAAAAACAACAAAGATAACACTTTGTTTATTATGCAATTAATATTTTAAATTGTTCATTAGCCCTAAAAAAAACAATGCTCATGTCAATTTCAATAATGATAACATGTTTAAATCACCAGCAAAAAAACTTACTACTTCAGCATATGATCATACTTTTGTTTGATAATCAATATCTGAGAAAAAAAGGATTTTGGGACATTCAAATAAAAGTGAATAAGAAATGTGATGAAAATATTCAACAAATTGCAGCCAACAATTAAAAAAATAACTATAGACTTACCCAATGATGACACCATAAATTCCTAATTCACTGATAACATCATCAAATCTGACTGATTTTCCAGGCTGTATTAAGACATTTCTTTGGGGTGAAGGAAACACTCTTTCCATTAAGATATATGAAGTTCTTTCTTCAGAATCTTTCAGCTTTAGAAGTTGAGACTGGAGTTCTTTTCCAAAAAAGTTATTACCTTTGGGAAACAGACAAGAATCAACCAGAAATGCAAACCAAATTCACAAAGTTCATGACTTTAGTATAAAACTGATTAATATTGTATCAAATATGATTTGACATGTTATTTTCATCTTTGTTGCTTTTACTGAAACATTTCAGTTTTACATCAACTTTACTCTGTTGATGACAGTTTGTTTTTCTGAGCTTTTATGTCTGGTGCCAGCAGGAATGTTTAAAAAAAAAATTTTTCAGACAAAATTCTCAGAAGGAAGAAGAAGGGAAATGGAATAAATAGAAACAAAAAAAAAACGGTGGGAAGGAGACATTAGATTCGCTTCAATTAGAAAAAAACAAAACAACTTAGAAATTTTAATTTTAACAATAACATATCTAGTATACTAATAAATATAATAAATATATTAGATCTTTATATATAAAATATGACTTTGATTTGAAGCCCTTTTAAGATATGTAGTGTACCTTATGTATGCCCGAAAAAAAAAAAAAAAAAAAAAAAGATGACACATGAGGAAGCCAGTATTGACAGGCAGAAATTACAAACCCCTTAACCTATATTTCCACTTTGCCATCTTAAATTAGACTTGTATCCTGATTTGTCAAAAAAAAGGCAACACTCTTTTAAAATTTTGTAATCTCTTTCCCCCTCCAACTTAAAATATATTATACTATTTAGCTTAAAAAAAGTAAATCATTTTTTTCGAGTTATTCAACATCACTTGAGAATGTAACAAAAACTTTAATTTTAATGTAAAATTTAGTTTTTAGTTTCTGAAAATGGTAATTTTTGTGTCACGATGAATACATATTTTTAAATAATAATATAGTATTATGCTCTACTCTGTATCGAGCACTGGTTTTAAAAATAAATGCTAATAAACTATGGATTATAAATCTGAGTGTTCTTTCTTTTTATTTTGATATATATATATATATATATATATATATATATATGTGAAAAATGTGTGTATATAAATAAATATATATATATAATTATTTATATATTATATGCGAGGTACTTATTAGAAAGCGCTCAATATCAGAGATAGAGCTAACATATTTGGTTGGATTGATGTGAGTTTGTGAACCTGGGTTTCACGCTTTTGCGATCATCAGACAAACTGATTAATTTTTTAGAATTTACTAAACAAAAAATCAGAGATAATCTCCAAATGTAGGCATGAGAACAAGTACCTATTATCCAAATTTATACCAAACAGATAAAAATAAAAAGACAAACCACCAACAATCACAATTCAATTCAAGCTACCATCACAATAATTACATTTATCGTTACCATTATTATCATTGCACCATCATTAGTAATCACTTCTACCACTTTAAAATAACTATTAACTACTAATATTATCATTACCACCAACACCCAACACCATTGCTACCACATCACATCTACTATTAACATATAAATCCACTATAATTATTAACGTAAATTACTCCCCCCAGCATATTTAATACCACCAAATAAAAACCAATAAGATCAGAGATAATTTCCAAATGTAGGCATGAGAATAAATACATATTACCAGGATTTATACCAAAATAAATAAATAAATATAGAAAATAAAATAAAATAAAACCCCAACAATCACTCTTTAGTTCAAGCTAGCACCACAATAATTACATTTATTGTTTTTTATTATTCTCCCACCACCATTACTAATCACTTCTACCAGTATACAATAACTATTAGCCACTTATATTATCATTGTCACCAGCCCCCTTACACATTACTATCACATCTACTATTATCATACAAACCCGTCATAATTATTAACGTAAACTACTCCCCTCCCCCAGCATATTTAATACCACCATAAAAATAACCAATAAGGATTACAAACCGAAATTTCTACCAGTCACATATACACAGTCACCAAAAAAATAAAAAACAAGCAAATAAACAGCATTAAAATAATATTTTTCTTTTTTTTTTAAATATCATAATTTTACACAGAATACCTATTATCAGGATTTATACCAAAATAAATTAATATATATAACAAAATAAAATAAAACACCAACAATCACTCTTTAGTTCAAGCTACCACGACAATAATTACATTTATTATTTTTATCATTCTCCCACCACTATTACTAATCACTTCTACCAATTTACAATAACTATTAGCTACTTATATTATCATTGTCTCCAATCCCTTACAACATTACTAGCGCATCACATCTACTATTATCATATAGACCCGCTATAATTACCAACATAAACAACCCCCCAGCATATTAAATACCACGAAATAAAATAACCAATAAGGATTACAAACCGAAATTTCTACCAGTTACATATACACAGTCATCAAAAACAAGCAAATAACCAGCTTTAAAATAACAAATAAAGCCTTTTTTTAAAAATTAAAAATAAAAATAATAATTTTTATCTATCATAATTTTATACAGACCCCACCACACATATATACATACAGGCGAGGAAATTTTATTCAGTGAAAAAAAAAAAAAAGAAGATAAATGCTCTGATTTTTGGCATGTATAAATTCACGAGACATTCACGAGAAATTAACGCTACACTTCCAATCTTTGAATTTCAACATACAAATGCGTATGTATAGACACAACACCACCCATATACATACATATGCCAAATCCGAAACTGTCCACATATGTTTATATATGTGTATGAGTCCTGACGGACAAGCAAGTGTGTATGTGTGTCTGCGTACCTCATCAGGTGTACGGACATGCATCTATGTTTGCGTTAGCACGATGACATCACGACAACGATTCCCCCCACTCCCATAATAACAACAATACACGCAATCTACATAAATCCAAATTTTTAAAAAAATTAATCAGTTTGTCTGACAATCGCAAAAGTGTGAAACCCAGGGTCACAAACTCACATCAATCCAACCAAAATATATATATATATATATATATACTTACCTCCACCTTCTCTCTGTGGCTTCAGTACGAAAGAATTGATATTCTTCAAAGCCTCACCTATAGCTTCATCTCCTTCTAAACCCTATAATAAATATGATGTTATACTCAAAGTTAATTTAGAAAATAATGAACATTTTTTTAATGCAGAACTAATGTTTCGTTTATTGGAATATTTGAATTTATCTTAATTTTTTTTTAACTATTATGGATTTAGATCTGTTGTGTATATTTAAATATTGTAATGGAAATAAAATTGAGTTTTTTATTTTTAATTCCTTCTCATGACAAATGTCTTTATTTTTAAGCTAGACTTCAACTGTCATTTACATGAACCCTCTCTCACTTTATACTTAATATATTGATGATGTACACAAACAATTATTTAAAATTAGATATTTGTGAATATCAAAATATTTGCAGAATAAATTGCTGAGCCTTGTGCTTGGGTATGCATCTGCAAGAAGGATTCGTAGAGGGGAAATATTTGAAAAAAAAAAACTGATGTATTTACCATTTCAAGACTATATTGTTTAGCAAAAGTCTTTCGTAATCTTTGTGCTTTTTGAGGATCAGGAATAAACTTCTCCAAGACACCAGGTTGGGACAATTCCTGCTGAATCTTTTTACTGCCAGCAAGATGATAATTTACTGATGGACATTTAATAGCATTTGAACATTCAATCATTTTTCTTGTATCCCAATCCTAAAGAAAAACAAGTAATGTTTACAAAAGCAACATATTTGTATATACTGAAAAAAAAAAAACATTAAAAAGATAGTTGCCAAAAAAATTGTAATAAAGATATATATTTTAAAATATTTATGACCAAACTATTGCAATGTAGAGTTTTTGATGCCAAAGAAATTACCTTTGTAGAATATCAATTCATCTTTAAATTTTTTCTGGAATCTAAAACTAAATTTCTTACATTGATAAACCATACCAAACTATAGATTTAACATATGTAAATGTAATATTAATAATACTTACATCATTGTTTCAATATTACAGTTAAATTTTGGTAGATTGGTAATGAATTGATAAATATAATATCAAATAATAATTGTAGTACAAAAGAAAATGTAATGCTTATATTATGTATTCAGTACTTGCAGAAAATTTCTTATAGTTAGTCTATATGTTACATTTCCTTAATATAAATCTGTATTTGTATTGTAGCAGAAGATAACTATTGGTTTTTGCTAAATTTATATTAAATTAGATTTCAGTCTTCTGGATAAAGGTAGTGATAAGATGAGAATAGTTCACACCTATATAACTGTCAAAAGTTGAAGATACTTTGGTATGTACTCTTCCATGTATTTAAAACAAACTGAGCTGTGAAGTTTTGCTTTATTGGATTTGGATAAATCAAAGAAGGATTCAAAAGCTTTAGAAATTAATCTGATTGGTCCAGAAATATCTTCATATTTTAGCAACAAATTTTGATTATCAGCTGATAAGCCAAGCACATAAAGATGAATTTGCTGTCTAGTTACCAAGCAATGAAAACTTCAATTTTTAGAAATAATTTTCCAAAACTAAAAAGCTATCATTTTGTTTCAGTTATAAAATATAAAAGCAGTTAAATCAGAGATTAAGGCAGGTAAATGTTGAATATCAAACATGATTTAGTTAATAAATTTCCAGTTATGAGATTTGGAACTATAAAAAAATAGAACTAAAATAAAATACTATATATACTTGTGTATAAGCCGACTTCATGAATTTTAAACCCTCTAGAAAAATATTTCTGGTCACCAAAAATGCAAAAAATTAGCTGTGTATAGTGTGAATCCCTATTTTTTACATAAAAAATTATCATAAAGACTCACACTATACTCAAGTATATACGGTATGCAAAATGACAAATTTGTTTTTAATGAAGCTGCACTAAAATTAACTTTGCCTTCTCAATAAACCCAAAACATTGGATTTTCTTATTAATATGAACTATTAAAGATCATTTTACCTGTTGAGTTTTGTAACTACAAGGTGAGTAGCCACTTCTAAAATACACAACACCAATTTCATAGCCAGAGCTAAAATAATAAAAAAAAACACACATTTATAGAAAATGATAAATGTTAAAATTCAACAAAATAAAAAATTATATTATTCTTGTTAAAATGATGACAGAAATAAAAATGATTTCTTTAGAAGTGTAATTCAGTCAAATAAAAATTATAGGAAAAAAAATAAGTATATAAAGATAATATGGAAAAATATCTCAATATTAAATTAATTCTTTATTAAATTAATTCAAGAATAATTTAAGAAACAAAAGTATACTTAAAACTGACACAATAAGATTGTTATCTTCATCCACATGTCCCAGATCATGTATGTCTTGGAATGTTAATCGTAAAGTAGCAATTGTAGGATTACATTTAAACACACCATATTCTAACCATCGTTGGTCAAAAATGTTCCTTTCTTCAGATGAGATCAAAAATAAAATTGCAGCCCTGAAATAGGAAAGTATACATGTAAAATATGAAAATTTTTTATATATTACATTACATTGGATTTTTCTATCCAGGTCAATATTTTATCCCAGATGTATACTAAAAGAGCAGCAGTCACTTTAATAGATAAACTTAACTTATCAGTGCACAAACAAACATTTTCTATTCAATCACTCACTGATATTTATCTTCTATCTTACAGTGAGAGAGAATCAGGTATATTTGGTTTCAAATGGTTTTAGAATGAAGTATCACATAAAAATTCAGAGATTCTTATCTTTCTTCAAGTCATTTTTGGTATCTGCATTACCTCTTCAATATTTTATTGAAACTTATACACATATTTTGCTTGTGTTTCCATGTAGAATATGGGAAATAAACTTATACACTTGTAATAGAAAATGAAATCTCAAAAAAAAAAAAAAAGTTAAAAACTGTAATGGGATGTTATACATTTTCTATTTTAGCAATTTACTTCAGTTAGAAATAATTTTATTCTATCAAATTCAGAACAGCCATAAAACAGCTTAAAAGAAAAACAGAATTTGAAGCCTAAAAAAAATTTAAAATATCAATGTAGTAAATTTAGCATTAAAATATTTTTCTCAATTCAATATATAATATTATTATTCAAAATGCTAAAGTAACAAAAATCACACATATATGCAATTTACTGCATTTGAAATGTTTATACTTTAGACTTTCTTATAACAGTTTTTAATTAAAAAATATTCCAGAATTCAGAAAATTTCAAATTGTTACAGTGATTAATTTTATATATATATTCAAAATGCTATAAAACTTTGAAAAGCAAAAGATAAATATTTTACTCTGGTTTCTTGTAAAGATCCCATGCTTGAACCATTCCAGCAGAAAGTTCTTCACTGCAATTATTTTGTGGAATCTAAAGATAGCAAAAGAAAAAAATGATTTTAAAACTTTAATATAAAATGAGATATTTTAATTTATAAGTTTTTAGTTTTGTTGTGATGTAGAGGTTAGCACTAATCAGCCGTTAAGCTCGTTTTACTGCTTCGTTATTCTCAGTGACCACTTATATGAGTGTTCACTTGTGCTTATGCAAATTATGCATACTAATTTGCTAGTATCACTACATCACCCTGAAACGTAAGAGTTTTATTCCTCTTGTAGATCTTGTACTCCTTCTCATGCTATTTTCATCACTTTGCTCTACTTCTCTCTCTCCAGTATTTCTTTCCCTGGGAGACCTTGATCTGTCCCGCGCTAGGCTGTAGTCATATGTGTTTTCTTGCATAATCTGGTCTTCGTCCGAACTTTCAGACTCCTTCTGGCCCTCTTGATCCTGCATTATTTCGTCTTCTGATGTTTCCTTCTGTAATGGTTGTTCTACCAACTCGTTATCAGATGGAATTGAAGACATTTCTTTGCCGTTTTGCTCTTCCTCTTCACCCTGGATCCTTATTTGATCTGCATGGGCTAATACACTATTGTCGTTTTCTATATTTATTATAGCTGTATTGTGGCCTTTTTGCATGATAAATTCTGCCCTTTCCAGATCTGCATCTTTGTTCTTTTTGTACCACATTTTTTAATTTGTAGAATACAACATTGTTAGCAGAGCTTTAATCTGTATTCCCATTAAAGCTGATGGGCTTTCTAGTCTTCCCGTATGTGGTATCGTACGATAACTTAAAAGTAGCCTCGATAGAAAAACTTCTACTTTTTCTTTTTGCTGAGAGCATGCATTTAGTCCCTTTTTTACGGTCTGCACCATTCTTTCTGCTAATCTGTTCAATTGAGGGTGATATGGAGGTGTCTTATATGGTTTACACCCTATTTTTTCTAACCATACATTAAGTTCTTCATCACAAAATTTTGGTGCATTATCAGATACCAAGGTTTTTGGTATGCCATTTCTGGAAAATATGACTCTTAGAATCTGCTTTATCATAGAACTTTTCTTGTTTGTAACTCGGATTATTTCAGGCCAACCTGAAAAAGAGTCTACTAGTATTAATAAGAGTCCCACTCCATTAATGTATGCATGATCCATATGCACACGACTCTATGGCTCCACTTCTTTGGGCCACGAATGTAATTTGGTTTGTGTAAAGTTTCTTAATTCTTTACATTTTTTGCACCTTTTTACATATTCCTCGACATCTCTTGAATATCCCGGCCACCAAGCTTCTAATTTTATCCTTTTTTGTGTGGCCGCTACTCCACAGTGTATATAATCATGTACACAAAAGGTTTTCTTTGTGTTTCTGGGGGAACTACCAGGTCCCCATTACAAATCACTCCATGTTCTATTGTTAATTTGTGTCTTATTTCTTTATAGGGTCTTTCCACCCTAGAACAATTTCCCCATGAGTTTTTTCTTATTCTCGATACTATCCTACTTAGCACTGATAAGTGGAGTACCGACCATATAAATATGGGTTGGTACCGGAAGACGGGGAAAGAATAAGTAAAAAAGAAGAGATCGAATCGAGAGACTCTGCCCGACTGCGATTTAGTCAACCCATTCTGCAGGAACAGTCTTCCCAAGAATATACCAAAACTAACTGTAAATATTGTGTACCTTTTCCTTGTTTCAATACATTTTGTTTACGTACATTTTGTGTTGTATTATTATTATTCCATGCTTATCCAAGTTTCAACAATGGCGACGAGGTATAAAGAACTTTTACGTTACGAAAAAAAAAAAAATTAATAATTGATAGCCTTCAACAATTGGGACAAGTGGAAGAACCCAGGCTGAAAAAAAAAAAAAAAATCATTAATTAAAAGTCGAACATCTAATGGAACGGAAAAGTATTCTGAAGTTTGGACAGTTAAAACTAGTTAAAGGACGACTAAGCATAAAGGAACGTTCACTCAGAAAAATCTGGAAGGTGGCGTAAACAAATAATAAAAAAAAAAAAAAAAAAAAATGCTGGCCGACTAAAAAAGAAAAAAAAAAAAAAAAAAAAAAAAAAAGCTGGCCGAAAAAAAAAAAAACATGCATGGAATTAAAAGGAGCACAAATACAACGTGTCGACTTTGAAAGGTAAGCGAAAAAAAAAAAAAAAAAAAAAATTTGTTTTTTTTTTTTTTGTTTGGTTGCTCAACAATATTTTATAAAGCAAGACATAAAATTAAAAAAAGGCGTAAGTTGTTTCGATTTTTTTTTTTTTTTGTCTGCTTATAGTATATTCGTGGATACACAATTTAAAAAGTATATTCTTTGTTGCATGAACACTATCAGCTAAAATGGAGGAATTATCCAAAGTCATAGCTGAATTGTTTAAAGCCCAGCAGTTGAGTCAAGCTGAATTATTCAAATCCCAGCAGTTGAGTCTGCAACAACAAAGTGAACAGTTTGCCTTATTAAGAGAACAGCAATTAGCACAGCAGAATTATCAAGAAAGGCAAGAGGAGTTGAGTCAGCAACGTCAAAGGGAACAGGAAGAAATGTATGTCAAGGTTTTGGAAATTCAAAAGTTAACATTGGAGAAATTAAACAACAATCAGGCAAATGAAAGTAACTCTTCATATTCTAATAACATCATATTTAATTCGTTGGAAACTTTCAACTATGTGCCAGACGAAGGAAAAACGTTTGAAGCGTACTTTAAACGATATGAAGATATTTTCCACACAGACTGTGAAAAAACTGGTCGAATTCAAGAAAAGTCAGTCTATTACTAAGAAAGCTAGGTACAGCGGAACATAGCAAATTTGTAGATTTTATTCTACCGAGAAGAACAAATGAATTGGAATTCTCGGAAACAGTGAAATTGCTAAAGGAGTTGTTTGGAGCAAATATGTCGCTTTGGCATAAGCGATGGTTATGCATGAATGTAGCTAAATCCGACGATCAGGATTACTTAACTTATGCATCTATAGTGAATAGACATTGTGACAATTTCAGATTGGCAGAGATTACGGTTGAAGAATTCAAGTGTTTAATTTTTGCTCAAGGACTGGTATCCAGTAAGAGTGCCGAAATAAGACGTAGAGTTTTGTCTAAACTCGAATCTGAACAAAACCTTACCCTGCAAAAGTTAGCAGAGGAGTGTCAGCGGGCCGTAAGTTTAAAGAAAGAGTCTCAAAAAATTGAAGAAGCTGGTATTGCTTATATTAAAAAAGTGAAGAAACAGTCAAATTACCCATCAGAAAAAAATTGGATTAAAAATTCGGCGTATTTTAAAAATAGACAAGAAAAATTAAATGAAAAGAATGAGGAAAAAAAAAAATGGTTCCGCCATTTAATTGTAGACGGTGCAACGGAAGACACTGGGAGTTAAATTGCCCATATAGAAATAAAAAATGTTTCGTGTGCCACAAGAATGGTCACAAAGGGTCGTGTTGTAAAACGAAAAAAATCAATAGCCGAATTAGACAAACAAATTCAAATATCAAATCAGATAGAGATTTGAGGAAGTATGTGACGACTGAAATATTTAAAAAGAATATCAAATTTCAACTCGATTCGGGTTCAGATTTAACAATAATGAACTATAAAACATGGAAAATTTTAAAAAGGCCTACAATAATGAAGTCAACGAAACGCGCTCGAACAGTGACTGGAAAGGAAATTAAATTCGAAGGCGAGGTTGTACTTCCCATGAAATTGAACAGGATAGTTAAAAAAAAAAAGTTTTCATTCTGAAAAATGGAGAAAACTTGATGGGTACAGATTTTATTGAAACATTCGAATTGTGGGATAAACCGTTAAACTCTTTCTGCAGAAAAGTAGAAAGTAATACGCAAACAAGACAGGACATTAATGAGGAATTAAAAAAAAAGTTTCCGGAAACTTTCACACCTGGTCTTGGAAGATGTAACAAGTTTGAAGCCAAATTCGAATTAAAGGAAAATACTATGCCAATTTTTAAAAAGAAACGTAATGTGCCTTTCGCAAGTGTAGAGAAAATTAACGAAGAACTTGATAGGTTGGAAAAAATGGGAATTATTTCGAAAGTAGAATCTAATTCATGGGCTGCGCCGATTGTGTGCATAAAAAAGAAATCAAACCAAGTCAGAGTCTGCGTTGATTTTTCGACAGGGTTGAACTCGGTAATTAAGGACTACCATTACCCGTTACCGAGTCCGGAGGAGATTTTTTAACAAGCTAAATGGTGGAGTTATATTTTCAAAAATTGACTTATCAGATGCCTATCTCCAAATTCCCGTCGAAGAGGAATGTTCGAAGTTACTAGGGATAAACACGCATAGAGGGTTATTCAAGTACAACAGGCTTCCTTTTGGTATTAAAGTGGCACCTGCCATTTTTCAACAAGCTATGGACGTCATGCTGAATGATTTAGACTTTGCGTGCGCTTACTTAGACGACATCATAGTAAGGAGCGAATCGGTCGACGAACATCGAGAGCATCTCAATCAAGTATTTAAAAAGATTCAGGACTTTGGATTTAAAGTCAAAGAGTCAAAGTGCGAATTTGGTTTGGAGGAAATTAAGTATTTAGGGCACATAATCAACAAAAATGGCAGATGTCCAGATCCGGAAAGGTCCATTGCGATTAGAGACATGCCGACGCCCACTAATGTGGCGATGCTACAAAGTTTTCTAGGGCTTGCAAATTATTATCAAGCGTTCATTAAAGGAATGTACAATTTAAGAGCTCCGTTGAATGAACTGCTAAAAAAAAAAAGACAAGGCATGGGAATGGACGGTAGAATGTCAGAAAGCCTTTGATGAAATAAAGAAAATGCTTACGTCCGACCTCTTTTTAACCCATTACAATCCAAAACTGGATATTGTAGTGGCAAGTGACGCTAGTTCATACGGGATAGGAGCGTGTATTCAACACATAATGCCAGATGGTTCTAGAAAACCAATTGCACACGCTTCGAGAACTTTGCTCCCAGGAGAAAGAAGTTACTCTCAGATAGAAAAAGAGGCACTGAGTATCATTTTTGCCATACAAAAAATTTCACAGGTACATCCACGGCAGACATTTTATCCTTGAAACGGATCATAAACCACTGATCACTATTTTTGGTTCAAAGAAAGGGTTACCCGTTTATACAGCAAATCGTCTGTTAAGATGGGGAACCATTCTTCTCAATTATGATTTTCACATAAAGCACCTATCATCCAAAAGATAATTCATGCGGATAGTCTATCAAGACTAGTACCGAGTCAAGAAGAAAGATTCGAAGAATCAATTATTGCAAATATCAGAGCAGATTATGAGGTGAAAAGCATGGTAAACAACATTGTAAGAGAGCTACCGGTTACGCTAAATGAAATTAAAAAAAGAAGCTGAAAGCGATGATTTCATTTAGAAATTAAAAGCAAAATGGTAGCAAATGACCAAAAAGTGCAGGAGATTTTTTCAATAGGTGATGGAGTTTTATTATATGGTGAGAGAGTAGTAATACCAAAAAGAAAAGAATACTTCGGGACTTTCATATGGGTCACCCGGGTATTAATAGAACAAAAAGCTTAATGCGAAGCTTTGTGTATTGGAAAGGAATGGATGTGGATATCGAAAACATGGTTCATCGATGTAAGGGGTGTGCGTTAGCAGCTAAGGCACCACCTATAGTACACAAACCATGGCCCAAGACGGATCATCCGTGGACAAGATTACACATTGATTTCGCTGGTCCAGTAGAAGATTTTTACTACTTAATAGTGGTAGATAGTTTTACAAAATGGCCGGAAGTACTACGCTGTAAAAAGCCTACGTCCAATACCACAACAACTTTTTTGCATGAACTATTTGCACGGTTCGGTGTGCCAGAGTGTATTGTGAGTGACAATGGTACACAATTCACTTCTGAAGAATTTAAGGAATTTTGTGAGTTATATCAAATTAACCACATAACGACGCCTCCCGTATCATCCGAGGTCTAATGGACTCGCAGAAAGATTTGTCGATACTTTAAAGCGAGCTCTGAAGAAAGCCTCAGGAGTTCCAACGGAAAAGGCGCTTCAGCAATTCTTACAAGTATACAGAATCACGCCAAACCAGAGAACACACTCAAACATGGCACCAGCTGAACTAATGTTCGCTAGGAAAGTTAAGTCAGTGTTTGACAAGCTTTTGCCAGGAAAAAATAGAGTAAAAAAAAATACCATGTATACAGCGAAAAAGATACACTCCCGGAGAGAAGGTGTTTTTCAAGTGCTATAAAAACAACGTTGAGTTCTGGGAACGAGGCATAGTGGACAAGAGAATCGGTGACCTGATTTACATAATTAAAGGGCCGAAGAATACTCATAAAAGGCACCAAAACCAACTTAAAAAAGATTACGGTATAGAGCAAGAAGAGTGTATACCGGATGAGGACGAAGATCCCATTGATATAATGTATGATATGTTTCAGGTAGAACCTCCACAGAATACACCTGAACCAAGAAGATCCGGTAGGAAACGGAAGTTGACGGACCCATTGGACGTGAATCCAAAACGGAAAAAATATTAAAATTAGGCAAATGGATCTACAAAGAAATAGCCATAATCATCAACCCATATAGGAAGCCAATTTGAAATCCAAAAGGGATTCCAAGGCTTGGGAGGAGGGTGTTGTGGTACGATACACCTAATTTACATAAGTGGAGTACCGACCATATAAATATGGGTTGGTACCGGGAAGACGGGGGAAAAAGGAAGTAAGAAGAGATCGAATCGAGAGACTCTGCCCGACTGCGATTTAGTCAACCCATTCTGCAGGAACAGTCTTCCCAAGAATATACCAAAACTAACTGTAAATATTGTGTACCTTTTCCTTGTTTCAATACATTTTGTTTACGTACATTTTGTGTTGTATTATTATTATTCCATGTTGAAAGTGGTTCTTTTAAGCAATTATTACAAGTTTTTCCAAATGCTGGACACTTTTTTTTCCTTTTGTATTTCATGTTCACGTCCACAATACGAACACTTTTTATCTTCTTTAACATGTATGTATCAGCGAATATTTGTTTGCTGGGTTGACTTTTATGATGGTTGTATTTCTGTATTAGTTCTTGTTGCTGAATAAAGTAAATACATGTATTTAAAGACATATTTCCTATTTGTAATTGTTCCATTTTATATTGGTGTGATGCATTGCACATACCTTCAATTAGTCTTAATTGAATCAAGTCCTCTTCAATAGTCTGTTGGTCTTGTCCAAGTTTTTCAAATTCACAATATCTGCTCGCATTTCGTAGACGGTGTAGATATTTTATAATTGGTTCGTCAATTTCTTGTTTCATCAACATGAATTTCGTTCTTTCTGCCACTACCAGCCTTTTCTTGGGTCTCATATTTCTTCTTATAATCTGACTTATTTTTTCGAAAGTCAGCTCTTCCAAATTTAAGGGATATGCCATGGTGGAGACTTTCATTACCACCTCGCATCCAGCTGTAGCCAAAAATAAATCCATGATTTCATTTTTGCCTCCCTATTCCTTGTTGTCTTTCAACTTTTTTGTTCTCGCAGTGGCAGAGAAACAACGAATCCATGTATCCACAAAATCTGGATCTTCCAGAGACAATTGATATCCTATCATCGACGCCATTGTTGTGATGTAGAGGTTAGCACTAATCAGCTGCTAAGCTCATTTTACTGCTTTGTTATTCTCAGTGACCACTTATATGAGTGTTCACTTGTGCTTATGCAAATTATTCATACTAATTTGCTAGTATCACTACAAGTTTATAACTGTTGTCATTTTTTCAAACTTTCAAATCAAGTAAGTTATAAAACACTGCTACAAAATAACTAATAATTCACAGAAAAAGTTTAGAATATTAAATAAAAAAATCAATAAATTTTTACACAAAAAGTATTCAGATATTAACTTATTTAACACAAAATAGATCAATCTATGTAGGGAGCTGGTGAGGAATCACATATGTAGAAAGTGAAATACAGCAATAATTTCTTTTAATTGGAGAATTGGAAAAGTTTTAAAAATTAAATGTAAAGAAAATTTCACCAATAAACCAGAAAAAGCCTAACCTGTTCTTCACCAAAAGGTAATTTTAGTAATGACATTGTGTACCTATAAAAAGAATTATGATATGAATAAAATGAAATAAAATGTGTGATGTGGCTTGATAAAAAAAAATGATAGTCTGCAAAATAAAATATAAGATTAAGATTAAGATTATGGCATATAGAAAACAGCAGAGAATTTTAATGTAAAAAAGAATAAAGTTGTTTTAAAAAAGATAATATATTTTTTAAACAACTTTATTCTTATTTAAAATATTTTTCAAAAGAAAAAGAAATAGCTATGAACTTGATCAATGTCACAATTTAAAGTTGACAAAAAAGAACAGCACAATAAATTTAAAAATGACTTTGAAATAATGTAAGGTAAGCTAGAAGAGAAAGGACATCAAGAATTACTGTGAAGGGAACCAAAACTCCCATAAGTACAAAGTAAACAATGTGCAAAAGGATATTAAAAAATATTGCAAAGGGGTCCAGGATCACCATAAATGCAAGGGAAATGGAGAGTGAAAGTATATAAAATTAAAACAAATAAACTCAATCTTAAATGTTTTAATTAGGAAAATACTAATTACTTTCTACTAAATAAAAATAAAAAAAATGTTTTTTTTTCATTTTTAAAGCCTATAATGTTTAGACAAATTTATGAATTTTATTGTTACTTATGCTAAATGAAAGGAAATATTCCAATTTTAAAAATATTTATGATTTTCAAAAACCATTGTTTACACATTTTTGATCACTCAAAAGTTTACCCATCTTGATATGTTTGTGTTGTGACATGACCCTTCAATATTGAATGCTAGATCAGATGCATGATCAATTTATTAAGACACACGCTGTTTTTATGTTTCCTCTTTTTTTCTATCTTTTCATTTTTACTTCCTGTCTAGACTGAGTCTTGTCTCAACTGAAAAATGGTGGGAAGGAATCTGTGTCACTTGACAACAAGACAGATTGACCTCCTAATGGAGCAATTAAAGTTGGTCACCCAAGCCCATGTAACATGCACCACATCTGTTATCCCATATTCTTTCCATATTTTGTTGTTTTTTGTTATATATTATATATATTATATATATTATATATATTATATATATTATATATATTATATATATATCTTGTGTTTGTTATTCATCTGTACCTGTTCATGTGTTCCTTCCTATCTGAGTGAACCCACCCTTACTTTTTTTTTGAACCTGGAGTTCATGTGTTGCAAATTCATAACAGTTTGGTTTGCTTTATTTTGTTTTACGGCATATCAACCTCGATGGGTTATTTAATGCTGACAAAAATTTTTATTGCTGGTAATATTTTGTTTTGTTAAAAATCTGTTTCTGGTAATATATTTCCTTCAAAATTGTATTGCTGGTAATAGTTAACTATTTTCCCATAGCTGGGACCCTAACAGGTGCTACCACCCCAGTCTGGGTGGACCTGGGAACACCAGCAATTAAGAGGTCAAATTCGTAACAGTGTGAATAGCATGAAGTCAGATGATACCATCAAAATATGTATTTTAAAATTACAGTTGTTTTAAAAATGCTAATTATATTTAGGTTCCACTCAAGCAAAATTTTCATAAGAAACATTTTCTTTCAAAAGAAAATTATATAATAAAATTTATTTTTGTAACATTAAAAATGTTTAATGTGTGTAAACAGCAGTGAGAAAATGTAAAACTTTTTTGTTCAATATTTAAAAATATCTTCTTACCTATGCAAAGAAACCATATTGTATGCAAGACCAGCAAAACTGGAAGCAATGGTATTGATTTCAATTTGTTTAAGTTGGACTTTGGAAGGTACAGAATCATTTTGAGGAAAATGAAGCATATAATCACTCCGGAATAAACCCAAGCATAATGGCTAAAATAACAAGATGGCAAATTCATCAGGACATAAAAGCAAAATCATTGATATATTTATAAGGGGATTTGTATCATCCACCTTGTAAGTATAGAAAAACAAAATCAGAACAAAAACACTTTGTGTTAGAAAATACAGGGAACTAGATTTTAAATGATACAAACTTTATTAACCATCAACATTTTTTTAAGTGAGAATGAGGAGCTAATTTAAAAAAAAACAAAAAAACTATTTTTAGTAGAAAAGCAATGTGAATTTAACATAGTTTATATAGACAAATAGATTTTTTTTTTTGTAACACACGTCTTTTTTATTGTTTTTTTTTTCTTTCACATTCTGAGAGTTCATTTCTTTACTTAAAAAATACAGAAATTTATAAATCTTGTACCCTTAATATTTCTATAAAAATAATTATTCAAGTCATTTGGGGAAAAGGTTTTATACTGATACCATACAAAAAGAATGAATGTCACTATTAAATTGCATTCTATTAAACTCTTAAATCACATGACAGATAAGAGTGTAGAATGACTTAAGTGAAATTTTAAATTCATGAAGATTTAGTTAAAGTTTCATAAGTCTCATATTTTTAGTGAAATTTAAAACTGATAAATTACAATATATTAAAATTTTGAATTCTTCAAGAAAGCAAAATAAAATTTTCATATTGTGGCACAATAGGAGTCCCTACACCTGAACATGAGCAATGTTATCAGAGTCTGAAGTTTTACATTTTTTTATGGTCAGCAGATAAATCTCTGAAGTCAGGTTTTCTAAATGGTGACTGAAAGGTAACAAAATGATAAATAAAATGAAAACTTCTGGAGTCAAATGACACTTGTTCAGAAGATTTTGCTTTTGCAGCTTTATATAAATATCATGTCAGTTAAAGTGAGAGAGAGAGAGAGCCCATTGAACCAGCCTCAGTAGTAGTAGCTTGTAAGAAGAGGCAAAGAGACCTATGTGCCATCTATTAGAGAAAATACTAGTTTCAACTTTGTCCTAGGAATGAAATTACTGAAAACAGGATTTATTTCTTGCTGTGGCACGGATTTCACCTTCTAACCTAATTTATATATTGAAAACACAGTTTGGTACAAATTTATGGTAAAATCCCACAGAGCTATGTGAAAATATTGAAGATTGAGATATAAAAATATATTTGTACCTGGTACTTCTTGGTTTCATTATTATAAACAGCTTCATAAATATCCCACAGTTTCTGGGTAAAACCATCAGTTGCAATGACACTGTAAAAAATAAATAACAATTCTGAAAACATTATTAACTATGCTCTTCTACCTTTCAGATTACTATTATGGAGATTGATAATGCTAATTCTCCCAAAGATTGAACTCAGATATTGTTGAATTACCCTGTCCCACCTGCAAATTAAAAATGAGCCTACCCCTTTTCCATAAGAGCTTCTAATAATTTGTGCAGAGGGGTGAAAAATTTGCCTCTTGAATCTATGCTGGGTAATTTCATTTATGAGAGCAGAGTATAGATTTTTAAAAGGAAAATTGCTACCAACAATAAGTTCTTAGTATTACCATGTCCCAGGAAAATATGCTGCTTGAAAAAAAGAAATGAAGTTCTGGGAAATGGCAACAAATGTTGATGCCAAGAAAAGGGCTCCAATTCTGTTTTTAAGTTTAAATTGTAAAGCCAGAAAAGCAGTGTTAGAAATGGACCATGATAAATCAAATAGAGGAAGGAATTAAATTATTGTATGAAAAGTTGGACTCTCTATTGAAGGTGAATACTAATTAAGTGGCTCTCATAGCATACAGAAATTTTAAAAAGTATACTTGACCACCGAATTGTTGATTACAATATAAAATTTGATCAGCATAGTTCAGCAACTCAGTGAACACAAAATTAATTTACCTGACCCTGTATTGGTTTACAGAGCCCTGAAGAGCACCAATCTTGGATTGGAGAAGACAATGAAAAATTAATAATGGCTACTGTTAGGGACATAACACTTAATGAAAAGATGATTCAAATATAAATAATGATGGGTGTTAGACCAGAGATTCCTCTCCAGCAATCAAGCAAATAAAGTCTGAACCAGTAGATGTGAACTTAGCCATGACCACTGATATAGAAGGCCTGTTTCATTAGGTTAAGGAGAAATATGACATCATATTGAGTCCGACTTTCAAGAAGCGTGTCGTTTGTTTTGTGTATCAGATTTTTTATGGCGGCATTTTTAAATTGTTTATTAATACTTTCTTTTAAATATTGAATTAATTTAAAACAAAAACAATGCCTTATAGATGTGATGTACCAAATTGCAAAGGGAATTATAAAAACGGCCCTAAAGTACATGTATTTTCTTTCCCTAAAGATAAAGAATTATCTGATGTTTGGATTCAGAAGAGATCATTTTTTACCTACTAAATTCAGCAGAGTGAGTATTTTTTGTATTAAAAAATAAGTAAATTTTATTGAAACTTTAGTGAAAAATTAACACCATGTCTTTGTAGTCTGTCTATATTTCTGAGATGAGGTATTATGTACAGTATTTACATTAGTCGGACTATTGTCCTCATCTTTGTCGCCATATTTGTCACAACGTTTCAGACCCCGTTATGCGCTCTGGCCTTCTTCAGGTGGTTGGAATTTGAACTGAACCCTTTATTTCAATCACTGGGGTAGATTGTTCTAGTTCCACGTGCCAACGTTTGATGGATGTCAGTTATCAGTTATCTCCTGCTAATTTTCCCTCTGAAAGTTCTCCACTACCTTAACTCTAAATAATTATTGAAACAATGCTTTTTGGGTCTGCCACTGGATCTAACCAATTTAATTTTTTATCCACTGTGCCATGTGTCCTTGATGACACATGGCACAGTGGATAATTATTAGGAGATAACTGATAACTGACATCCATCAAACATGGCATTTGGAACTAGAAAAGTATACCCCAGTGAACAAATAAAGGATTCGGTTGAAATTTCAACCTTGTTTTTTGAAGATATTGGAGCATACAAAAATTGTAAACGTTGTGACAAATATATGACAAAGATGAGGACAATAGTCCGACTAATGTAAATACTGTGCATGTCTTTGTAATTCATAAAATTAATAAGACAAATCTAGCGAAAAAGTTTAGACATTCATTCTTGTACGTGTTGCTTTTAAAATCTAAAAACTCATTTTTTTTAAGAAATAAACTTTAAAGAAATTTTCGCCATAAATTCATTCATGAATTCCTAAAGGAATATTTTATATGCATAAAAAATAATTCTAATAATTTTAACAATTTTTTAAAATTGTTTTATTCGTGACTAAATGAAACTTTTTTTAATTGAATTAATTTCATGTCTGTAATTCACAACACATTTTAAAACAAAGTGTTGTTTTAAAAAGTTATTAAACTCAGTTGAAACTTTGAGGATTAAAATAATTTCATATCTTTATAATTCACAAAACATTAAAAACAAAGTTGCGAAAGTTTTTAAAAGCTGAAATCTAATTTTTATAAAAAATAAACTTTCGATATAAATTCATAAAGGAATCTTTTTATAGGCATAAAAATAATTGAATTTTTTTTTAGAATTATTTAATAATTTAACAATTTTTTAGAACTGTTTTATTCATTAGAATGTTTTTCTATTTATCATTTTAAATTAAAAAATGAATAAAAATTCTTCTCTTATTTGTACATAGCTTCGTCACTAATAATCTTTTGTTGAATTCTCTCCACTTTTCCTAAAATTATTAATGCGTCATATTACTGTAGGTTTTTGCTGATTGATTTTCTTAGATTTTCACAAGAATTTAAAATAGGCTTGGTTTTTAAAATCTTTTTAGGTATGTGAACTACATTTCCGGAGGACATAAGGAGAGAATCGTCAGCTTTTGACCAAAAAAAAAACTGGTGCCACAATTGCAGTTAAACTAAAAAAAAATATATCTTCGTGATGGTGCTATTCCTAGAATTTTTCCAAGCTGTCCCTCATATTTTTCTTCATTGAATACTTCACCAGACTCTAGGAGAATCCGAGTAGAGAATTCTGCTCTGAAAAGTGCTTTAAATTAAAGTATTAATGATGACTTAGCATATAAAATACAGAAGAAATTCCATAATTATCTAGAAGGGAAATTAAATTTCCTTGATAGAAATTACTGGAGTTTTGTTAGGCAGCAAGAGACACTTATTATATTCAGCATCATCAAATCCCCATATCCTAAAATCAATCTGTCTCTTGTAATTGAATCTGATTTTGCAGTACATGTGTTTTGTAGAGATGTGGAAATGCATTCAATAGGGGACTATAAGATTCCTAAACATGTAACTGATCAAAATACTCTTGAAATAATGTCATTTCTACTATTGGTGCAAGAAGAATCAAACAAACTTTTTAATACAATTAAATTTATATATGAGCAGCTAAATTTAATGACACAAAATAAGCTTGATTATTCAACAGAAATGATTATATTTTCTTCATTGTTATATAACTGCTCCCCTAAAGGGTACAGATTGTTAAGAAACAGCAAAAATATAATTTTACCTAGCTATTCAACCATTAAAAGACTAAGTTATCAACATATATGAATCCTTTGATTGAGCAACATAACAATTTTTTTATGTATATTAAAAATAAATTTAAGCTACTAGTGCAGAAGGACATCACAGTATCTTTACTTGTTGATGAAATTCATCTAAAACCTTATTTAGATTATAAGGGTGGTAATATTGTTGACTTATCTGATAACAGCAGTGAAGCTGCAACAAGTGCTTTTGCTTTCATGATTAGCAGTGTATTCTCACAATATAAATGTTATGCCAACTAAATGTCTTGAAGCTGAGAAGTTATTTGACATAGTTAAACGTATAATAATTGGTTTAGAGGAGATAGGCTTTCAAGTATTATCAATTATAACAGATAATAATGCTATAAATAAAAAAAGCTATATCTTTCTTTTGCAGTCCTCCAAAGCTTTCCATTGTATATCCACGCCCAGTTATAAAGTCTCGATCCCTTTTCTTCCTTTTCGACTCAGTCCATATATTAAAATGCATTAGAAACAATTGGCTTGGTCAAAAAGATGCAAATAAATGCATGCTGTTCCCCAAATTTTGTCATAATGGAAATCATGAATTAGATAGTATCCAAAGTGCCCCATTTTCTACCTTACAGAAACTTCATGCCTTAGAATCTCAGTCAATTTTGAAATACGGTTATAAATTGTTCTCAAAGGCACTTTCTCCTACTAATCTTGAAAGGCAAAATGTTAATTTAGTTCTGCAAATTTTTAATGAATACACTATTCAAGGATTATTGACTTTAGGAAAACAGAAATATTTGCCTAATTTTGCAGAAGTTGCAGAATATATAAACATATTTTATATTTGATGGACAATAATGAATGTTATAAAGGTTGCCAGCTTAGAAATAAATACTGCAATCCACTTAGAATGAATGAAGAAAATTTTAGATTTCTCTCTGTATTCTGTGACTGGTTAGAATCTTGGAATAGCATTTCTGGAAGAAATGGCAAATTAACAAAGGAAACCTTCACTGCTTTGCATCATACAACCTATGCATTTCTAGAACTGACCAAGTATTGCATAGAAGAACTGAAAATGCTGTACATATTACCAGGCAAATTTCAAACTGATCCCCTTGAAGCAAGGTTTGGTCAATACCGACAACTTAGTGGGGATCAGTATAATATCTCAATACGACAAGTATTTGAGTGTGAAAAAAAAATTAGAATGCAATCAGCTTTAAAATTGAGCTTACCATTTAATCAGCAATGCATTAAAATTGATTTAAAGAGTTTACAAGAACCAAACTGGGACGAAGTGACAAAGGAGGAAAAGTTATATATATATATATATATATATATAACTTTTATATATATAGAATTGATGTTAAAGAGGATGATGTTAATAATTGTAGAGAAGTTCTACCTGTAATACTATACTTAGCAGGTTATTGCTGTAATGCAGTTTTTAAGAAAATTAAATGCAATAGTTGCAAAGATTTAATATCTGGAAGTGTAAGTGTGGAAGAAATACTTGAAATAAGCAGCTATTTTCAGGGGATTAATAGAGGTTCTCTCTTATATCCTAATGATAAAACTATAAATTTTGTTCTGTATAATTATGTAGTCATTGATAAACTTATAAAAAATCATTCTTTTCTTCATTCAGTAAATCAAAGAAAAATAGCCATGCATATAACATTGAATGTTTTGGCAGATTATGAGCTTCTTTTTTATGTTGACA